ACCCCTCCACACCCCCACCCCACCCTGCCGCCGCCGCACGCCACCTATCCCAGCCATGCTCGGACTCCCGGGAGTCCGAGCATGGCTGGGATAGGCGGCGTGGGGTGGCAGGGACAGGGTAGGGTGGATCCAGATGGTTTCCAGGCAAAGCACTCCTGGAAGGCATCCGGACCCACACACACACCTTGCCCCGCCACCACCACTTGGAGCCGCTGGCGGGCAGGCCCTTCGGAGCGGCCGCAGGGGAAGGGTTCCCCCGCCGTCGTTCCGAAGCGCCCCAGCCAGCCAGCTGTGTGAAAATGGGGGCTTTTCCTCCCAAAGGCCCCATTTTCACACAGCTGCAAAATGGCTGCCCGCGCTGCCCTTGCTTAGCGAGGCGGTGAAAATGGCGGCCCTATGGAGGAAACCTCGCATAGCGGTTAGTTTTCACCCCATAGAAACACATGGATAGGAGGGAAAGGATTAACCTGGCCTCCTAAGGGAAGGCATTCCAAAACCTGGGAGCAGCCAACATTTGTGCATTCCCTACTCTATCCCTTTCTCCATATCCTTCTAATCTTTTTTGCGCAGAGAACATTCACTTTCTCTCTGCCAAGTAAGGAAAGATTTTTTTTCTCTTTTTGCTTAACAGGATAGGACATGAAACAGAAGTATGTAACTAAGCTGTTTGCACAGGGAGAACTGGTACTTTGTCAAAGCATGCCGTGATACAACTTGTTGATGTATTCCAATCTAGAAAGGCTACTTACCTTAGTATATATAATATAGGAAAGAATGGTTTCTGCTCTCTCAGCCAAGAGATAAAAGCAAGCACTCTACCAGATTCAGCCGTGTCAAGTTCTGGAAGATGTGTCTGTCCAAGGAAACAACAAAAGCTATCATGAACGCTTAACAAATATACAAAAGAAGACCATTCCTCTATTCAGAGGAAGGAATACTACGTATATCCCGGTGGTTGACTCTTCTCCCTCTACACCGCTTTCATTTCCTGATAAAGGTGCAAGGAGAACAAAACCCTTCCTGCTAGCTTTCCTTAGGCACAACATTGCTCCTAGTCTTAAATAAATTTAGGAAATGCTATACAATATGCCCCTTCAAGACGGCTCAATAGGATGCAAAAGCAGTCCAAAAGCTGCTGGAGGAGCAGTACAGTGAATGATGGCAAGCAAGAGGCAATTTGTCTGTCCTTCTCCACTAATTTATTAGTACAGAGCAATGTACCTAGCAACAGCCATAACACAAGCTATTTTAAGACAAACCCTGTTTTCCCACTAGGCTCAATGTTAAAATCGAGCTTTGGTTCCTGCACAGTCTGCCTACCCAATAAATGAAAAAGGTGTATTCTCCTTTCTCCCTTACACTTCTTCTTTCACTACCAGAGTGCTCCTTTCTGACCTCTGCTGTCATCTCTTTTTTCCCATGATGTGTGGTGATATAAACCTGCTAGTTTATGCTGCCAGTCACAGTGGCTACATGCCAGAGGAGGACCTACACTAATTTTGGAATGGATGTAAAAGGAAGGGTTTGTAAAGCAAGTCATTTTTGAGCCCGGAGTTCCCTGTAGATGAGCACAAATTATGATGCGAAAGAATGGTTGGCCCAAGTAATAGTTAATCCTTTTGGACGATACCATCTGCCTTCTCTAAATATGGGGGTGTAAACTAAGAATGGCGTAAAGGTCATTCAAATCTCTGAACCACACTGAGTGCTGCCTTTGTGGAAAAATCCTTGGATGTACTACAATTTGCAGAAC